AGCAAGCAAGCAAGCAAGCAAACAGCTAGAGAGCCAGGAGAGGGAGAGAGAGCACGCAGAGAGAACGATAGATAAACGTGTTTCTTCGCGCTTGTTTGTTCATGTGCGCTTCATATGTGTGTACTGGCTTGTCTCTTGGTGAAGTTATGATACTCTTCGGGGTGTTTCTTTCGTGGGAAGATTGCGCTTCATGTCAGCCTACCGAGTTCTTCTATTGTCAAATTTCGAGGTTAGTAGCTGTTTGCTTGAACATTTGGGGTCAGGTTTCAATCGTCTTCGTTTTACCATACGGCAACCCGGACAACGACCAGCTGTAACATACTGCTGAAAGTTCTGCGGAATGAAGACTGCTTCCCGTACATACCTTCTTTGCTACCAGGCCCTGCAAAGCAGGGTGCAGAGCGATTTACTGGGGTCAAATTTAACGCATGGGCACCAATCCTTGCAGTGGGCCATTCAGATTTCTATGATAGCTATAGACATGTTGCTATAACCCCACCGACCAAACTACAATGTACCCAAAAGCCAGATTTCAATACTGTCGGCCCGCAAGTTAGTTAAGAAGCACACCGGCAGGCCCCACCCCATCCGCACGCGCAACCATGCGCAGTGCGCCTCGAAGCCCCTTGGGCAGCCCTCGGTCAGAGGTGGGGCGTAAGGTTTTGGGGCTTTGGCGGGGTCGGGTTATTTGTTTTTTTGAAAAAGTCTGACTTATCCAGTGTTATATGGGGGCTTGGTTCTTGAACTCAGGCTTAGAGCTGCTAGCCGAAGCCTGGCGCTTGTGAGGGATTCAGACATTTTTGGGCCTTGCTGCTTGGGTCTGAGACTGACTCTGGGGTCTGAGCCCTAAGCTCCTAAACCTCAATTCCCAGAAACAGCTGCAACACAATGTATGTTAGCTGTACGTATAAGTGGGAAAACATGTTACTGCGCTTTGGTATTATTACATCGAGGCCCGAATCTACCAGATATGAGCACGATGCGATAACAATAATCACAGGGACTTTGCCAGGAATCGCGCCCACGGTCGCCTGGGTCTCCACCACCCTTAGTTCCCTCTGCAAGGCAGTGGGTGGGAAGTTGGTGTCGGGGTCCTTTGCGTATACACCAAGTTACGCTAATCAGATCCTTTTGAACGCTTATGTTACTGATGTGCTGTCAAGGTCAGAGGCGCTCGATTCACAAACCTACTTGGTGTAGAAATGATGTTGAGAGGGGTGTGACTGAGAGGAAGAAAGGGATGGGCGGTGCGGGGGAGGGAAGGAGTGGATTCTAGATGATTCAAGACCGACTTCTGCAACCGTTGACTTGTGAGCCTAGGTGGAACATTCTGTAGTTTCGCGCTTGTCCTCTTTTCGGACCTGATGTATGGTGCTCTCACAAGCAACGGGAAGAAGATGCGATGCGGTTCAGGTGCGAAAAGCTCAATGCAACGCGACTAAAGTGAACAGGATTTGAAAGCCTCAGAACCACTTCGTTTCTCTACCCATCTTTCCTTGGCTTTACTGCTGTACCTAGGTGCCAGGTATGGTACCTTGGTAACTTGGTACTCGTACCTGTACTGAGAGGTGGGCAATTACTTAAAGACCAGCCCCTTTTTTCCAAACCCTGAATGCCAGACCGGCCGGCTAGCAAAGGCTTGCAGGATTTGCAATGATTTCGAGACCCGGAGCTTATTGAATTTGTGCGATCAGGGAATCTTGTTTAGGGAAAAATGTGACGGTTGCGGAGAGTCTGCTTGCCGACCGCAGTGTCCAAGACCAAACTGTCCAGTGAGGCATGTGATCGGTCCTTCAAGCGACGGACCCCAAAACACTGAGAGACCTAATTAAGAGGCCGGAGATGCCGGAGCAATTGGTGATATTGCCCCTTACCGTTCCCGAAGCCTTAAGTTCCTGCCTCCATACTAGCCAAGCTTCGGACCCCGGTGAAGCTGTCGGACCTAAACTTCCCAAGGAAAGTTGAACGCTGAACCCAGCTTCCTGAGATCTACGCTCCAAGAAAAACAAGCACCTCAGGCCAGACTCGACTTAAGCCCTGAAGCCGGAACGAGTCAAAGGCTGGCTGGTCTGAGCCGAACGCGCACCTCTCCGGGCAGAGCACGGTTTCCCGGAGTCACGGTGGATCGGTGGGTTCGTCGCTTCTTTTGAGGCGCTGCTTTTCGGTGCCGGTCTCGCATGAGGGTTGTTCTTTGACAGCGCTGGAGCCTACCAGTGGAAGTGGAGTGGAAGCGATTCCCAAATCTGCTCTTGTTTTCTAACGGTACTAGCGATTACTGCCGTAACTGCTTGTGGTTCCGTGTAGTTCCGAGGCCTTGTTATGACTACGTAATGTCACGGCACTATGCACTCCTTCTCCGCCTCTCTCTGCCAGTCTCACTCTCTCTTGGTTCCTTTGCTCTTTGCTGCATTTCTCTCTCTCTCTCTACAAAGCTCTTGGCGTGGAGGCCTACCTTCTACTATCCCCGAGCTGATCACAAGACTTCCAAACCTGATCGGCCCAGGATCCGGATCCCGAACCGAAACGAAAAAAGCCTAGGCCCAGCCAGCTGTGGCCTCCAAGGGCCCCTTCCTCGGTGAGCTAGTGGGAGTGGAGGGTTTCCGCGCTTTTGCAGTTCCGGCCCCACAGCTTTGTGAGGTGCCATTGCCTGGATCCTACACTTCAGCTTCATCCCCTACAGTAGCCTAGTTCACTCTGTGTCGGAGCCACTGACAACTGCACGGTACGTACCAGATGAATCGGGAACCTGAGCTCTTGGCAGCCTTTCAGACTTTCAGGCTTCAGGCTTCGAGTCAGATTTTCCTCCCAAAGCGGCCTTTAACAAAATATACAAAATCCTGAGCGGATTCTTTGGGTAGAGGTCCATACGCACAGGCGAACAAGAAGTGGCCCTGAGCTTTGCGATCGGCTGGGCTTGAAAAAAGCATTCTTCTTAGGACACAGAAGTATGTTATTTGTATATGATGCAAGCACCTAGTCTAGGTTCACTGCTGCGACAAAAGCTGAGAATGCTTCCCAGAGGCCTGCCACAAGCTTGTCCTTGCAGCACCAGTCCTGCGGTCGTTGCTGAACGGAAGCTGCCTTGTAAGCACACAAGCACTTAATCCACGAACTACACTTGTATACTCGAGTCAAGCTGATGAAATAGTCACACCCCTGCGAAACTGACAAAAAGTGCATTCCAAGAGCCGGAGACATCAACGCCCCGCAAACGCCAAGGGCGGGCTTCGCAGGACACATTTCAGTGTGCTTGCCTCCGTTTGCGAGGTTTTTCCTATCAGGCTATGTAGGGTCCCGTGGCTCAGGGTTCCAGGGTTCGTCGGCCTTGGTTCGCCAATTTTTGGTGCTAAAGGCAACAGGCAGGTTCTGCATCAGCCAGGACTAGCATCTATCTGCATGGCATATATCCTCAAGACTCAGGCGATTTTGTCGGGCTGGTTTTGCACATGAGGTCCGTCTGGCGAGGTTTGGGCTGTGTTTGGTGGTTGCACGGCATAACTTTGCGGCGTCGGGTTGTCGTGTTTGGTTTGCCGGTTCGTACCTCGACTTTCACCCGCACAAGTGTACAGCTGCTTTGTATCAAATCCGGGTAGACATATTTCTACGTTGAACTTTATAAAGTTCGAGTCAGTGAGTGTGCACGTCACCAAAATAATGATTCTTCATCCGAGCAGTCACAACTTTTTCCATCCACCGCTGCCACCACTACCGCCACCACGCACCACCACCGACCCCACCACCCACCACCACCGACCCCACTACCCACCCCACCACCCACCACCACCCACCACCACCACCAGCAGCAACAGATGCTACCTCCTCGATACTATTAAACTAAGCTTTAAGGAAAATTAAACTAAGCCTCCTCTTCACCATCATCTTCAACATCAGCGACATTGTCAGAGCCGTTCACATGCTAGCAGTTTCCCACATTTCAGGAAACAAGAAAGCCCAAACCTTGACCAAAGAAGCATGGACCAACGGAGGAGGGGCGTCGTGTGCCAGCCTTCGGATCGCCCAGCGACTCTTCCTCGCCCACGGGCTCGCCAGGAGGATCCGAGGGCTTGGTTTGGGCTTCTTTCGAGGGTACCCATACACTCCAGTACTCCTTAGTCAATACGCGCTTGCTTAGTTGTTCTTACCATAGCATCTCGAAGGTGGCAAATAGCCCCGCCGCCCTCTTTCCGCAACAAGGCCCCGGCCTAAATTATGTTTGCCCGAGCCTTTACGATCCATTCACTGGGCAGCCTAAGCCTCCCACGCTTTTGAAACCGAACAGTCTTGCAGTTTTGGGGCCTGGCGTAAGACCCACTTCCATGCCCCGAGAGTAGAGTTTCCACTTTGGTCCTGGGTTCCAGGCTAGGGTTCGCAGAGTTCAACATGTAAACAGAGGTCTGGGAAGAGATAGGGCAGGGTGCGGGGGCTTGCATTCGACACCTTCGATTCGTACCACCATTCGTCCGAAACAGGAATCCGTAATGCTGGCACATCACAAACCAGGGTGGTGGCAATCTGGATCCCTTTTCCGATTGCTTTCAAGCCTCACAACTGTTCGAGAACACCCATAAACTGGTCAAGATAAATCAGCAGAGCAGCCATAGCAGCAACGCTATCAGCAGTGACGATGTGCATGTACACTCGCTGGGATACTAGATGAAGACTGAGTGTGTGCCTGTGTCCCTCGATCGAGGAGCGTCATCCCCCGGGACAGCGCTCACAGAGCCCCCTGCAGCGGATTCTGCTGATGCTCTCACGGCGGTGCCGACGGCCGAGCCAAAAGCAGAACCGAAAGAGGAGCCGAAGGAGGAGTCCACGTTGAAGACTGGGAAGGAGGTGGAGCCTTGGGTGTTGGGGCTCGAGGCTCTAAGGGTGATTTGTTTTGAATTTTGGGAAGTTGGAGTTCGAATGTTGTGCTTTTCCCTCTCGCTGACTAAATATTACTAATTAAAACCTCATTGCCAACAGGGTCGGAGTTTGTGCTTCATCCCGATCAGTGAACAGAGCTGTCCACCCGTGACTTGCCGGTTCTTTGATCCCTGCGTTTACGTGAAGAATCGTGAAGATCTGAAATGTCTTTTCCGATTATTCGCAGCCCTAGCAGCCCTAGCATCCCCAAACTCGAAATTCTGAAACTGTTACGCTTAAAGCCCCCGGGTCTAAATACCAACTCCCTCAAAGCGAGGCAGCGGTGCCCGACACCCCGGCCACAGCCACACCTCGGTCAAAGAGTTCGACCCCGACTGTGCAAGGGCGCCGAAAGGACCAGGGTGCTTTGGGTCAAGAGGCTTTGAGACTTCTATCATGTTTAAAGTGCAAAGGCCTTAAGCTGATGGGGTTCAGGAGTTACGGTTTACCGTTTCGGGTTCATGCGGGGTTTAGAACTTTTCTTACTCTAAACCATGCACACCAATGTAAGCGATTCAGCTGCAACCTAAATACCGTTTGGGCCGCCTAGGTTTCCCGAGAAATGGCGAATTTGCTCACTAGTGGCTTGTACTGGGGTCATGATCAGTAGTGTGTCGGTTCGATCTTTTCTTCGTGCCAGCTGTCAGCGGGGAATATACTTTAAGGTGCTTGCGGACGGAATAAGTACGCTTTTCAGCACTAAGAAAATGTGCATCTTCATATTTCTCGGGTCTGCGCGATTGCAGGACGATGGTAGCAAGACGCCATCCAGCACAGTGGAAGAGCTTTCGACAGGAGCGGGCACGGGGTGAAGTCTGAAAGCCTTTAGACAGCGAAAGCTTACGAGCATACGGTTTATCCCTCCGGCCACGAGGAAGCTTTTCAAAGTTTCGATGTCACAAAATTATCTCAACCGGAAGCCCGACCACGCCCACTCCGACTCCTTTTGTGGGGTATTCTTCGTGTGGTTCAGGATGTACGCGCGATTGAGGGTTGAGGCGTGGAGGTTTGGTATCTTCGGGAGTTGGGGTTGTAAGGGATATTACTGCAAAACTAGGGGAAGCAGGTCAGTTTTGCACGATGCTGCAAGTCCTCACTCTGCCCTCACCGTCCCAGGTTTCTGGGCTGCGCTTTAGCGTGACATGGTGGTCTGAAAGTCAAACATGTCGCTAGAAGATGTGCGGAGAGCCACGCGAATCCCTGGCACAGGCACCAGGAAGACGCTCTCCGAGAAGGCGCAAACAGCCACCGCAAGCTTAAACTTCATAAAGCTTCGCCCTTGTGGGCCCTTACAGCAAGCTCGATGCCGGAGCTCTGAAGCGCCAGAACAGCCCAATAGGCCTAAGAGGTATACACGTTTTGGTCTATTTCAGATCAAACGTTCATGGTGGCCTGTTTATAGAAGTAGGGCAGGCCAAGCAAAGCGAACCGACAACTTGTTCCATATCGAGCCTAAGAACATCATCGCCATTTCGGTGCAAGCTCGAGCTTTTGTCTGACTGGCAAACAAGGTTTCTTGCTGTGTGTTGCAGTCCTCTGAAATCATATTTAGCAAGTAAAGCAACATAGCGGCGATTGATGCCTGTGTGCAACTGGCGTAAGCGGACCGCAAGGCCTCGCGTCTAATTGTTCCGTTCAGGGATCCTGTGCTGAGTCCACGTTCGTCATGAGGCCGCCCCTTGACTTAGGGAACTCTATCCCGTCACGGCTTCAATTCTAAAACTGTCCCACAACATGCCCTATAATGGCCCTAGAACCGTGTAGCTCCTGAGGTCGAGTATCAGGGTTTCAGTGCTGAGCCGTTGTCCCGCCAAAGCTTCGGCTCCAGGGCTTAAGCCCTTTTGCCACGATGCGTCTCAGGGTGTTCAGTCTTGGAAGGGTTGGCGGTATCCGGGTTTGGAATGCGGACGGCTAGGACGATATACACCTCTCAGCGTGTTTATCGACTCCGAAGCAGGATGCGGCTGGCTTTGCCAAGCGTTTGACAGAGTGGGCGAAGGACTCCCACTCCCTTACTAGTAGGTTAAGAATCGGGAGCTTTAGGGAATTCAGGCTGTGTGTCAGTATGGTCTGGCTTAATTTCTTAGTATATGGTCTGGCTTGATTTCGTAGTGTACATCCAATGTGCTCCGTGACTAACACTGGGCACTAAATCACTAAGGCTCACCGGATCTCAGGGTTGGGTCTGGTCCGGTCTTGTGCCAGAAAGGGGCAACGGGTGGGTGCTGTTCTCGAGAGTTCCCTTCAAGATGCCAGTAAATCCTCCAAACCCCAGAGCATCGCCTTAGCACCCATCCCTGCATTGCTGCATCTGCAGAGAAGGAGCTGGCTCTCGATGCAGACGCTGCTAAAGTGGCTCATTTAGGGGGCCCAGGTGATTATCTAGTAGAACGATTGCTTCAGCTTCCGTTATCTATACTTTTCGTCTTCAGCCCCTTCTACTCCGATTGCCTAGGCATACATTTCAGCGTGAGTGCGGCATCTTCTGACATGGCATGCTGCGAGTTTACTGGCCCAGTGCCTGTTCTGCCAAGTCTCTACTCCGTGATTTTGATTTGTGGCACTGTGCTTGCGTTCAGGATAAAGGAATAAGGTTACTGTTGCTGCGAAGGGTTCCCGTTTCTTCTGCGGCGCCTGCTGTGGTGCGGATTTTCGATCAAAATCGAGTTCAAAATCGAAAACTTTCAAGCTCCTGCCAGAGTGCCGTGCTTGTTTTCGGCGCTCCTTGGTTTGGTCTGGAATCTGGAAGTCTCTGCCGCTTTAAAGGGCCATGGCATTCCGTAAAGTTTTTTTTCTGACGAGGGTCGTGCATTTGGAGTGACTTCTGGAATGGTTCCAGGGCTGGGACTTCTAGGTGCTCTTACACTGCGCTGCCATGTTGATCCAGGCGAATCTGGACGGTGGCATACTTGGTTCGCCTGGTCTACATGCTGAATTCCGGGTGCTGAGAATTGACTGCATGCGGCTTTTCCCTCTCTCCTCGAGGTCGCATGTGAACGCATTCTATTTGTTAAGGTCTATAGTTCACCTTCCTGAAATCGTTTTGAGGTCTTTGCTTTTGCAAGTCAAGGCTGTGTCCGGTGTGCCCCCTACGGAGACTACGCTCTTTCATACAGTGTCTCTCCCTTGTCGAGACTTCTTTGAGGAAACATGGTTTCTGGCGTGTGCTTTCTGTGTGGGGGGCCCTGAATTCCTAACAAATCGATATCAGCTATCAGACACCCTGAACGTTACCAACAGATCAAAAGACCTAGAGTCTGCAGTGGACAGCTGCGAGTTGGGCCGCAGCACTGGCAACGAGATTTCGGATGGTTCTGAGACACCGAAAAACACCGAGAGGCGCCAGAAGATGTTGCCCCACACGTTGGACCAACAACGACCGACACACCCTTCTGAATTGGCCCATTGAGGTTTGCCTTGCGGGAGCCAAAAAGAGGCTTGAATCATTCTCCCTCCAAAAGATCGGTGAAGGATCGCGACAAGCGGCGCCACGATCTCCATGAGCAAGCCCGCAGCGAGGCCGGCTCTCCTCTGTGATAACCGCAGTGGGTCTTTCATGTGGGGTTCCTGAGGCGGGCAGTGCACAGCTTCGGGCCCTAAAGGCCCGTTAGGGTATTGGAATTTCAGACGCCTTCCGAAAGTCAGCCGGGCTTCCGCAGCCGAGAGTTCAAGTGCAAAGAGAGCTCAGTTCCGGAAACCTCAGTTTATCGGCAACCCTCCGAGCCAAGTGGCTGACATAAACACGAACTAACCCCAAACCTGTCAGTAAGGGGGCTAGCAGCAAGAATAGTCGGAACTCATGATAGCAGTTGCCGGGACATGTCGCGCCAGCTTGTCGCTCGCGCAGCAGATGGGTTATGGCATCCGATCACGTGGCCTATACCCTGCAACCTGCCCTTCATGTGTGAGTTTTATAGTTTTACAGGGGTTAGGATTTAGTCTTATGCTGCTTTCGGCTGTCAACACCGCGTGGCTGCTATGACTTTCCGGTTTTTAGTATACAGCAGAGCAAAACGGGTCTGTTGAGGGATTCAAATTCAGAAAGGTACCCAGTTGCTGCTCTTCAGTCCCTCTTTGGCTGTGCTCAGCGGCACAGCGTTCCCCCATGGCCTTCCCAACGGCGTGACGCGGATGTTCCCTCTCTCAGTTGCCGACCAGCAGCAGGCCGATACTGTGAAACCTCTCTCTTACCTTATCAGCCCAAGCTCGACAAAGTCGTGCATGCCTGGAGTCCGAAATTGTGTGCCAAGAAACCGTTTCAACAGCACCTTTCAATGCGATAGAACGAGGCCGAAGGATGGCAGACGACCTGCCACCAGTCTCTCGAACAACAGATCGGGAGCAAGGTGGGGGTTCGAGAAAAGTCGGAGCTGTGTTGTTTCGGAGACCTAGGAGTTCTTAGCGATCCTCATAATATCTACATGTTGCTTCAGTTTCTCAAGTACTGTACCCAGTAGGGGACGTGAAGATGATTCGGGTCCCGCTCCCAGGTCGATGGTTACGTGAGCCTTCGCGTCAGTCGGCCGCTGGGTAGGGCTCCTTTGCTCGTCCGAGAGCTTCCCGAAACCGTGGGCAGCAAGGCTGGGTCCTCTAGTCTTTACAACAGTTTTGGGCAAGTCATACTTGTTTACGATGCCAGTCGTCCCTTGGTATGAGTGTCAACACCAACCGAACACTAAACCTTTAAGACAGTCCCAGACCCCGAACTGCAAGAACCGACTAGTCCGAGTGAGAGCAGATTCCAAACCCCTCTCGGAAGGTGTGGCGTGGCGCCTGGCTTCTCTGGAAATGCCTGGCAAACCTCCACGGTTTGAGCGGAGTCTCCCGTGTGCTGGAGTTGGGTGCCGGCGTGGGCCTGGTGGCTTGGGAAAGAAGACTTGGAATTGCGGGCCTCGAGTTGTAAGAGTCTCCGCCGGGAAAGGATGACTTAGTCGTGTTGAAGTCTTCAGATTCAGTTCAGCGCTTTTGTTTCGGGCTTTTGTGCCCAAGGGTCTTGGAAGCTGTTTCCGTAAGGGAAAGGTTCGGTCTGGACATGGCAATGCTTGGTTTCAGAACATGCAATTCAACGGCACATTCTTTCAACCTGTGGGTTCTATGCACACAACAATAATAGCCTTTATCGTAACAATAGTAATAGAAATAGTAATACTACTGAGAATAGCACTAGTCACTAGTGATGCTAGAGGATCAAGGGATTCTGTAGAGATGATGAGGCTCGCCCAGCTTTCGTTCATACTTGTGTGTTTCTAGAGCAGGTGGGGCTGCTGCTTGCCGCGGACCATTCGCTTCTTGGATTGGGGAGCCTGAGTTTTCAGAAATTTGGGGACCGGATCGATTTTTTTTGGTCAGCTTGGCACGAAGAGTTGGCATGATCAGACCTTTGTAAATTTAATACGCCGCCTGTAAAGTTTTGTCGGAAATGTACGGTTTCCCACAAGCTGCCTGCGGCATTGCACAATATCCTGTCGTAGTGAAGCGGAGACACCCAGCCTGAAACTATAGCACGAATGCCAGGCTGATACAGTACGCCTAGCACCCCGTGTTCCAAACCTTCGATGAGCAGTACAGCAGCATCATTCGTTTCGTTGATTCACATTTCCCAATGTGCCTAGAGTGGCCGGAAGCCCGAAACGCCTCAAACTACCTTTACTTGTTCTGGGTACCGACCAATGCGTGAGTTAAGGAGCTCCAAAGGCTCCGACCGAATGATTTGCAGTAGACTTTAGGGTCCAGGAAAGTTTTGATTTAGGGGTTGCGGAGTTTGGGGTTTACAGGAGTGGCTTTCTAGTCAAGCCACAACCGAGGTGGCAAACCTCGTGCGTACTATTTGACCTTAACAACCCTACCGCAAAACCCCAAAAAAGGCTGGAGGTAGTGGTCTCTGAGACGCGGAGCGGATATGGTGGAGCAGAATTGACGTGGGAAAACCTGGCCGCAGGGCAGCCAGAGACAAGCCCTTCTCATGGGCCCTTCTCCTACTAGTGGTGTTGCTACGGTTTAGGAGTATGGGGGTTTGGGAGTTTGTCAGGGAAGTTCAGGGTCTCAAGCTTGCCTTCATTTAGCATGCCTTCTCAGATGTTTTAGTTTGCGTCCGGAATCACATGTGCGCTTCGGTTGCTCCATCATTGTTGTTGGAAGGAATGATGGCTCAGGTTTACAATGTTCAGATGAATGCTGAGCAGATTGACGAGGGCGGGGGTCGCATAGAGGCATTGGAGTTAGACTGGACGCAAGGCCTGCAGGACCAGGTGCGGAAATTTGACCTCGTGGTGGGCAGCGATATACTCTATGAGCCGCACCTCTTCGAAGACCTGTTGGATGTTATGCAAACAGCAGCTTCGGAAGCAGTTCTGGTGCAGAACATGGCGAGGAAGGGCACGCAGTACTTCAAAGAGCTTTGCTGTGCCAGAAACATCGGGCTCCGGGCCGTCGACGTGTCTGATTTGGATGCGAACGAACAATGGCTTGTTGAAGGTGTTGCTGATGCAGTCGACGGGGTCTACCAGTGCTGGTTCTTAGATTTCAGCCAGGCGCGGAGCAGAAGCGAAAGCGAAAACTTGGGTGACGCGGAAGTGTGTGCGTGCGCGGCAAGGTCTTCTTGTGTGTGCTGGTTGACTCTGTTACTGGTAGTGCTGCTCTGTCACCGTCCATCACCGCTTCAGGCCTGCAACGCGCCACTTGGTTTAGTGGCCACGCTTCCAACATTCCCTGGGTTTTAGATGGGATTAGGGCGGTTAATTAAGGGGTCGAAGCGGGCTCAGAAGGGTCGGTTCGCTCAAGTAGTAAGTGGCCCATCAAAATCCTATGAAAAGCTACAAAATCCGGCAAAATCAGGCCTCAGGCCTTTTTGCTCTCCTTTACTCAGCTAAGATTGACTAGTAGCAGACGGGAGGAAGGGACACAACCACCAAGCGATATTCTGGCACAATATAGAGGACCGCAAAACATAGAAAAAAAATAGCACAATAAAGTGCGCATTAACGAGGGTCACCCAATTCAACCCGGTGCGACATTAGCTGAACTCTGACTCAAAAGCATCACGCTCGAAACTTTTATTGGTAAAGCTTTGAAAGTTGCATTTTCGTTGTTATTCTGCAGAATGGACGACCTTGACAGCGGAATCAGTTGAGTTGCTAGCAGGGGCAAGGGTCTCCTGGCAGTTGCGGTAGCATGTGACCCATGCCCCAAACTCGTTCATAATCCAGAACTACATGGCGCCCTGACACCGTGAGCACCACTTCCTCGGCCGAGGGAATTTTAAACTTAGAGGCTTGGGTTTTCAGCGGTCTAACTTCTGAGCCACACCATGCTCACACCAGAGAGTCCGAAACGTCCGCACCAAGACTCGAGCCCCATGCATCAGTGGCCTTATGATGTCTTATGATGCCAAGAAGCACCCCCCGAACGGCCCTAGCTTCCCGCATCGGCTTCCAGGGGTTCCCTGAAAATGTGCAGCCATGAAAAGCCTTTTGCCAGCTGGGGAAGTCAATCTGCAAAACCCTGAACCCAACACCTGTACTGCCCCAATCCTTATGATTGTAAACCTTGACGTCTGAATCTTACCCACAAGAAACTCGTTGAACCGACAGCCGGTCTCATAATTGAACTCCTGAGCAGGAGATGCCGCAGCAGCTTCAGATAAGCGCCCGCTCCAGGAAGCTAGCACGGACCTGAGGGGTTATGCTCAGGGTTACGAGGACTCAAGCTAGAAGGTTTGGGGTTGCCTCGCTGCTCGGGGTTCAGCGATGTTTGGTTTGGGACTCTTGGGTGTGTTTGCGGCTTTTAGTCGTTTATGGGTTTGGATGCACAACCAGTGTGGTGGTAACGCGGTTGTGTGGCACACATTTGTGACTACATAGAGCCGTGTTCTACCGTCGGTCCCCGTTCGCCCCGGACACCGATCTCCGAGGCTGCTGAATGTCACTCGCACCCAGTCTGATTCTGTGCGTGTTTTGCGAGTCGCTCTCTGCCACAGTCCCGGGGCCGTCAAATCGCTCGAAATCGCGAAAGTGCTGGCGCGGCCGCACTTTTAGGCTCCTCGAGGCTGTGGTCTGGACATCATGACTCGTGTTTCCACTTCTAGCGGCCTCTGGTGTGTCTTAGAGCCGGGCCTTTGGACCTTGACTAGGGTTTGTTTCGAAAGGCACATGCGCCACCTTTTGTTCCATAAGGCAGGGTTCGGAATCTCGACAACCCACCCTACACCATAACAGGTTTTCCTGTGTTAGTTGTTAGTTTCCACAGCTGTGAATACCGCGAGTCGCAAGTGTTCAGGCCTCGGAAAGGCCTGAGTTGGTTGATGATGGTGATGTGTTTTCTGGGGCAAACGCATAGGATGGTATGTAGTTTTCAGTCAATTGGGCACGCATGGGTTGCGAATGTCATCGAGTCTCTCCCCGAGAAAGGCTTCGGAAAAGGCTGCGGAAATGTTAGATTCTCTCCGATTTGAGGCCGCCCACGTCAAGCTGGCAGCTCAGTCCTGGGAAGTGGTATTAGGACCATTACTCCTCTAAGGGCTTCCAAATCCAGATACGTGCTCCCAGTTAACTGGGAGCACGTATCTGGAAGATATCACCGAGTAGGCTGCTGCCATATCGGCAATTGTGTTTGCTGTGTGGGACTGTGTCATGATGGTGGTGCTGGCAGTGGTGCCATCGGTATATACCCCTAGCACGTGGCCCAGATCCAAAGATGGTTGCCCATGCTGGACCTATCTCACTATAAGCCTTGAGCCCTGAAGCTTTAGCCCCAAGCCGTGGGCCCTCCGCCCCAAAGCATAAGCCTTCAGCACCCTTCAGCCATACGCCCCAAGCTTTATAATCTTTAAAGTCGTAACGCCCAGGCTTTGAGCGCTGAGCCTAAGACCCTAGACCCTAAGCCTTGGGCCGTCTTGGGCCTTACGCCTTGAACCAAGCCCCAACCCATAAGCCGCCTCAGGCCCGCAACCCTGAGCAAGAAAGGGTGGGGCGAACGCAGTAATTTTCACACTGCGTGGAAGCCGTAGCTTTTCCTTGTAGTGAAGTTTCCTTGGTCTGGGAGGGTTTGTTGCATCAAAGAATGTCATGATTGCAGACGTTTGATTTGTCCGAGGCCCGTGCACGAACGGCTCGACGACATAATGCAGGAACTGTGGGTGGTGAAAGAGAGTGTCCTGAACAATTAGTACAAGTATTCATGCTTGCAAGACTGGGGAAAGTATTATATTCCTTGAACTCGCGCTTTCGGTTTTCGGGACCTTGAAGATGCGTCTTTGTCTGTTCGAGTCTCCTCACTACTGGTTTTGGCGCTGATTCTGACAGCGGCTTTTTTTGACGAGATCCTTTTTGGATAAGCCTAGACTCCGCCTAGGACACATTTGCTAAACTCTAATTGGACACACCACCCGAAGCAGCGAATAGGAATAGGCATGTACCGTCAGCTACAACCCCGCATTTCAGAGTTGTGGCTGATGCTCATAATGCTGTTCCTCTGGGTCGTGAGGCCCCGCAGCCAGGGCCAGCTGATGTTTATGATGCTGGTGGGCTTGGCTCTGCCGGACACTGGTGGCTGATTCTCATGATGATGTCCTTTCGGGTGGTGATGCCT